TGACACAGACACTGGACCATTCTCCTTCTCCCAAGGGGAAGCAGCAAGCCTGTAAGCAACTTGCATCTCCACTTGCTCTCCTCTTGGCTTCTACCGAGTTTACTCTCCCCTTACAAATTCCAATTTACCCAGGACAACATGGGTTTTTAATACCCATAAGTACAGCCTTACCAAAATGATGGCGGAAGTGGTATGCGCTGCAGCTCCTTTAATCTTGCAGGCTCTCCTGTGCGTAGTCCCCCCTCCTGTTGCTGATTGGTAGAGGGGCCCTGCTTGCAGCTCACTCCTGATCATCAGGGAGGCAAAAACTATGGTTTTAAACATGGTGTTGTTTTCTCCTCCTCCTGCTGACTGGCTGAGAGGCCCCAATGGCCCTGCTGCTTGCTGCTGACCAGTGGAGAGGCAAAAACAGTGCCATGCTTAAAACCACGGTTTTCATTTTCCCACCGAGCAGGAGCAAGCTGCAAGCAAGATCCCTCCGCGGATTAGCAAAGGGGAGGGCGGGGGTAACTGCAAGATTATAGGAGCCACAGCATACACCATTTCTGCCGTGAATTCGGTAGGGCCCTACCCATAAATAAATATTATGAAAAAGAAACCCTGGTCTGCAGCCAGACAGTGTCTTAGATACAAGACTTTATGAACTGTAAGCAGTTATCCATACTATTAATAACTCCCAGGAACTACTGCAACAATTTCAGAGAATGCCAGAGAATCCTAGCTTATTTTTTAAAAAGTAAGTTCTTGCTTTGTTTAAACACCTGTGCTTGTCTAAGAACTTCAGCCACATATTCCAAGTGGTTTTGGGATATTTCATAAGCAAGTTGGCAGATGCAAGTAACCAATTGCTGCTTTTTCACTGAATATCAAATTTAGAAAAGAATGCAAACAATACCATTTCACTTTAAAATTCTAAAAGCCCCAACAACTTATTCCTACTATAAAAGTTAGCTTTTCTGTGAAAAAGAGATGGAGGGAGGTGGTTACATTCTATTTACAGGACAGTTAATAGCTTTCATTTCACCCTTAAGGCCTTGGCCTTCCTGAAAGTACAAAATCCCTTCCATAGTTTGGAAAACTTATTACTAGAAGAACTTTACCAAAGCACTGTGAAAGTAACTCTTCAGTTTTGCAGCAGAGACTGCCAACAAGGAATAACATTGAAACCAATTTCCTTTCCCAGAAAATTCCCCTGAAACTTGCACTGAGTAAGAGTAAAGAAGAGAAAATGAAAACAAAACTATGCAGTTATAAAACAGAAGACACTTCTTAGACCAGCAGTGTCACAGGGATGTAGAAAATTGAGAGAGACCAATCTCCTGTCAGCTCAGAGCAAGGAGTGAAGAGTCTTTGTGAACAGAACAGCAAAACAGAAGAAATTAATTCTCTGTGCTCCAAAAACTATTGAGCCCGGGAAGCAGTGAACTTATTAATAAGTTCTTGGAAACAGTGTTTTCATTAAAAACAGACTTCTCAACACTGGATGATTTAAACTAGCAAAAACAGAGGAAAAACATGGTCAGTTCATTCATTACCACTTGCAACATGCACTTTCCCCCAGCAAAATTAGCAGCTGGATATGGGGGGTACACATTGCAAAGAAGTGAAGGGAGCAGAGGGCCTGATTCCACAGGAGCCAAATTGCACAGCACCTTGAGCCAGGTAAGCAGCCAGCAGTACTTGCTGAACCAATTGAGTGCCTACCCACCTTGAGACTTGGAGCCAGGTAGTTTGCCTCAACCAGTGAAGTCAGCCAAGCTTCTCATACTGATGGAGCAGAACTGCCCAGTCCCATTTCTGGAGCTGGGTGGGCCCTCAGCTGACTCAGCAAGCACTGCCATCTGCCCATGAGGATTAAGAAACAGGGCTGGACAGTTTGGCTCAGCCAGTGGCTTCAGCCTAGGATAGTGGTCTCCAACCTTTTTAAGTAGATCACCTTTGGCATTTAAAAGCAACCCAAGATCTACCATGTGCCACCGCCACCACCTCTCTCTTCCACCTAGCAGGTAAATCTGTGGGGAGGGGCAGATTGAGACAGAGGGAGAAAACATTATTTGGGAGTGCGCCTCCCCAGCAGGTAAGTCCTACCCAGCTGGGGTCCCACTCAACTTACCCCTGCTCCTGCCTTTATGGCACTGTCCCCTCACCGTGGGGGACTCGATCTAGCCCCTGCCCCTTCCCTCCCCCATGGATGAACCTGCTGGGCTGGGGCGTGTGCGGATCTAACTCAAGAGGCTCTGAGATCTACTGGTTGATGACCACTGGCCTAGGACTTGGTCCTGCTTGATCTGAACTGCCCTGCCCCGCTTCTCAAAGTGGGGGACACCGCATTCTGCAGCTAGGGATTACCAGAGCAGCCACAGATTTTTGCCCTTCCTGCCCCCATTCCCTCCAAAAAACAAACAAAACCACCAAGAAACAAAAAAACCTGCAACTGCCTGTTTTCCCCAAGAAACACCCCCCGACACACACAAAAAAGAAACCCTCTCTCCTTATTGTTCCAACTTTTTCTGTAGGCTATCCAGAATGAAAGTTAACTAGTGTACATCTCTAACATTTACTTGTCTTTTATGCTAGAGCCAGATTAGTAGAGATTGGGGGGGGGGGCGGGGTTTGCCTTCTGGAGAGAGGGACATGGCCCTTTTCTGTGGATCTCTCAAATCATAGAAAAATTAGAGCTAGAAGGGACCTCAGGAAATAATCTAGCCCAATCCCCTGCTCAAAGCAGGACCATCCCCAACTAGATCATTCTAGCAAAGGCTTTGTTGAACCAGGCCTTAAAAACCTCCAAGAACAGAGATTCTACCACCTGCCTAGCTAATCCATTCCAGTGTTTCACCATCCTCGGTAATCTGTTCCAGTGCTTCACCATCCTCCTAGTGAGAAAAATGTCTTAATATCCAACCTAAACCTCCCTTGCTGCAACTTGAGACCATTGCTTCTTATCATCTGCCACCACTGAGAACAGTCCAGCTCCATCCTCTTTGGAACCCCCCCTTCAGGTAATTTAAATGCTACCTGCATTTTAAGTCTTGCAGCAGCAGGATACTGACAGCCCTCATCCTAATGTGTTACTTATGGCAGGTTAGGGTGCTTTTGATGTCCTTGGGCATCAAGGATAATGCTGCTTCACGCAGGGGGTTGGACCAGACCTCCAGAGGTCTGTTCCAGCCAACTATTCTATGATCCTATTAGTAACAATTGAATATTCACATGGGTATTGCAGTTGTGCAAATGAGCTGACATACTTAGACATCAGTAGGGGTGCATCAATAGATTTTTGGGGCCAACACCAATAGTCGATAGTTAACACACACCCCGCCCATGCCCATGCCCTGCCAGGATGCAAGTAGCAGCAGGAGCTACCTACCCACCACCCTCCTCCCCTCCCCTGGGCAGCACCTGCCCCCGTCCCCTCCCTCATCACAGGCGGCATTGATCTGCTCCCCACCCCCAGCTTTCCACCATGCAGGGCTTGCCAGCTGGAGGCATCTCTCCACACTGCTGGCTCTGCTTCTCGCTGCCCGATCACTGCACTGCAGCTGCACACAGCACAGGCGTTTATCAGACAAATTATCAGCCCCCCATCAGGCAGATCGTTTTCTTTATATCTGTACCGATCCAATATTGGACCGATATATCAGTGCACCTCTAGACATCAGTCCACCTTGTATTAATACATTATTTTAAATTTTAGAAGTATATCAGCTTTTAAATCCTTCCACAAATAAATCCTACTTGTAATATAGAGGGTCTGGTGCTGATGAAAGTTATGCTTGTTTTACATCAATGTTACTTCAAGGAGTTACTCCTAAGTAACACAGAAGTGAAAGTGTTTCAGTTGACAGTCTAAAACTTTCAACAATTCATCCGGTACATATTCGGAGTGTCTACACAAGACATTTACTGAAAAGTAGTAAACTGATTAGCGCCATAGCGAATGTCTTGCATCCACACGTACAGCCCTATTAGGCCATAGGAAACTAACTCTGCAGCAGGGCAGCACTTGTAAATACAAGCACTATCCTACTGCACAGTTTTTTCATGTGCAGCATGAAAACATGTAAACATTGAGCCAGCTGGCTGGGACCCAAGGGTGCTTCAGCATAAAGGCTGCCTGCCAGCTAGCCCCACACTGGAGCACCCTCATGGCCCAGCCACCCCCTCCACAGCACACTGAGCCAGGTCAGAGCAGCCCTGGGCTGGCAGGCTGACCCCAACTGGGGCCCTTGTTAGCCAGGATTGCTCTGACCTGGCTCAACGTACTGTGGTCCCAGGCATGTGTTCCAACAGCAGGGCTGGGAGCAATAAACTCCAGTGCAATACGTGCCGGCATTTATTGCCGAGTGCTAATAGCACGTGTAGATGCACCCACTCAAGGCTTGGGAGGGAGGTGGCGGTAGGGGGTGGAAACTAAAGTATTTATTAACTCAGAACAAAAGCTAGAGTTCTGGCCCTGAAACCAGTGTTAATTCTCTCACTGGTTTTCTTAAATAAATCTTCTGAAAAGTAACTTTCCTGGCCGACTCACTATTGCACAGCTGTATTAAGGAACTGCCAAGTCAAAGAGATGAGATTAAAGACATGACAATAATTTAGGCATGCTACCTAAATACACTATCAAGCCTGCAGAGCTCAGAGAGGAGAAATAAAGTTCAGCAATAAGACCTGAATCATACAGTAAGTTCCTAGCAGTCAGGCTCCAGCTCAAAGCTCCCTCTGAAGTTAATGAAGATGCGCACACGTGCAGAAAGCCACTGAGCTACATCTGGGGCCAGGGCCAGGTCCCAAATGGGGTGGACAGCAGAGGGCTGGGGCTGGGGCTGGGGCTGCAATCCACTCCCCACACACCCCTGCCCGGGGAACACACCTGTCGCAGGGGCATGCAGGCAGATCAGGGCTCTGCCCCTGCCCTGGCCCCATGCTGCCATCTCCCCAACATCCCAGGGTCTCCCTGGCCCCACCTCATCTCTCACTACTCGACACTGGTCCGCACCTACCTGCAGCCCCATCCCATCCATCTGGGTGCACATCATGCCCCCGCGGGTCCAGCCCCTGGTGGCAGGTGCAGGGCAGATGGGCCAGGGTGCTTGCCTTCGCCCCCGCTGCCCCTGCCAGGACTGGGACCAAGGCAGTTAATAGCCAACCCTCTCAGGCCTACGAACGTTCATTTATTTACATGACAGGAAAAAGGCGGAAAAGGCAATTACAAGTTACATATACTTGGATACCCGTGTTGTCTTTAAAATGAAAGCAAACCCAATTAAAACAGAATTAAAATCCCATGTTTTGAGGAAGAGATCCTGAACAGGTTGTCACCTTTTTTCAAGATTTAAATTCGTTTTGGGGGGTTTTTGAAGCAGAGAGAGCAGAAACCCGCAGACATTGACCGTCACTCCTTCGGGAGAACCAGAGGGGAGAGGGGGCAGCGCGCAGGACCTGGCGGAGCGAGGCAGCCCGGGGGAATTCAGCTCTTTGCGGCTTCCCTGCCACGATGCCAAGCAGCAAGAGCGAGACCCAGGCCTGCTACCGGCGCCTCAGCCCGCCCAGGAGGCAGGGACGAGGGCTGGGGCCGTGGAGGCCTGT